TTTTTATAAGTTTTATTGTGTATATCCCAATGCTTTAGTTGGAATATAGTAATATCCTTACCGCTTGACAATTCCACACATTCTTCTAAAACTTCAGATGCAATTGCCTCAACTTCTTTTGCAGAGCAGTGACCACTATCCAAACGTTTGCGAATTTCTCGCAATCTTGAAGCATCTGGTTTACGATTCGGATTTGGATCACCCACAGGAGGAATAGATGTAAAATACGTCGTGGGAGGGCGATTCTCTAAATAATAGCGTAAAATATCAAAGTATTAGACTTACTATTATTCATATTGATTATAGATAATATAGTGCATGTACTATTAAGTGCAGTGTTTTCTGATTGAAAATTATAAATTAGCGATAAAAATGAGTTTTCATACATTTTTATCAAAATCTGGTTATGCATGGCGAACCATTCGGACTAATTTACAATATATATCACAAACTCAGGATTGAATAATTAACAATACATGCTTAATTACCATTGACGTCCTCAATGTCATCATCTACACCGCCACTCAATTCGCGCATCATTAATTGTTTTTCATTCAGACCGCCGGACCCAGGAATCATCATTCTCATTATATTATTATGGTAATTTTCAACTTGTCCGTTCCATTGACCAGAACATTGGTTATTAGAAGAAGAGGATGATGATGAAAGATTACGAATATGACGAGTTGCAGGAGATCCTGGCTCTGGAGTCGATGTTGGTGATGGTTTAGGTTGTACCTTGGCGAATCCTATTCTAACAGGGCCAACAGCACTTCCAAGAACCTCTTTACCATGCAATGCTTTCTTGGCTTTTACGGCATCATCCAATTTTTCAAAATTGACGAATCCACAATTTTTGTGTGTTAGGACTCTAGCAGATTCAATTGGACCGAATGGTGCAAATATGTTCTGTAGAATTTGTGGTGTGGTCGAGGTGGGAATGTTTCCAATCCAAAGAGCACGTGTAGGTTGAAGCTGTGTTTGTGATGACAGGGACAAATCATGAGCATTTAACGAATCCGCCTTGCCATAGCCCACACGAACGATACAATTTCCAACTCGACTGCCCATTCTATTCATAATATCATCTTTAGCACGAACTGCATCCTCAACTCGAACAAAATTAACAAAACCACATTCTTTATCTGGTAATAGTCTTAAACTTTCAATGGACCCATAAGGCGAAAAAAGTTGCATAAGATCTTGAGTGCTAAGATTCGGATCGATATTCCCAATCCATAAAGACCGAGTAGGTGTTTGTGGAGGAGGTGTACTTTGTTGAGAATGGTCAGGTGTATGATCATGAGGACTTGACACACTAGAACGGTTATGCTGTGTAAATTGCAAACTCAAATTAGAATAATGCACTACAAAATTTTGTCACAATACATTAAAAAAAATATATATTAATGAATTAAATTGATATTATACATCTAATTCATCATGATCCGGTAATAAATAATCATCTTCCATATGAATTTGTTGCTGTTGTTTCTTTTTCCCTTCCATAGCAGCCATAAGCATCGTTCCAACTAATTGTTCACCCCCAAGAGATCTAGATGGGGTATTAGAACCCTGCCCGGATTCTGGTAAATCATTATACATTTGACCGTTTCTTCCTTGGCGCATGAGCATAATATCATTTGGTAGATCCAAAATACCCAAACTAATAGCGCGAGGCCGAGAATGGGTTTGATGAAATTGTTGCACCGCTGCAGAACCTGGTGGGAAAAGGTTATTTGAAGATACAGTTGTTGTAGGCGGTGGATCATCATACTTGGCAGTAGCAGACACAGAATAAGAACGAATTCTATTTGCATCCCTACGAAGAGCAGGCAAAGAAGAAATAGATCCCACAGAAGATTGATAATTTTGAGGGTTTGATGGTTTCATGTCCACTTTGATTTGCGGAAGGTTACCAGTAGCTTTAAGATGTTCATGATCATCTAGGCCCAAATAGTCTAAAGTTTTACCAACAGTATTATTTTCATCCCCACGAAGTAAATCACCAGTAGTGGGTGTTTGCATTGGAGGAGTTGGTGGACCATTTGTTTCACTTCTATGATCAGACCATCCTGAAGTAAAAATAGATGGACCAAACGCAGCAGAAAGTGAAGCTGATGGTAAAGTAAGAGATCCAGATCGAATACGAGAATTGGGTTTTGGGGGGGTAAGAAGAGTAGCAGCAGAAGCAGAGGATCCAATAGGTGTTGCGATAGACAATGAAGAAGTAGGATGATGGACAATAGGTCGTGACAAAGAAGGTAGTGTATCAGCCCTAGTCCGACGGTATGAAGAGGAGTAAGAGGATAGGTGATCAGGACTGCTACTACTAGGAGTAGGAGAAACTTTTGTCCCAACAGACTTTAGGTTCAAATATTCAAGTGATACACTAGCTGCAGAATCCGATAGGAGTGTACCATTATTAAAAGCACCATTAGTAGAAATGGACGGTGGTGGAAGGGGGCCTGAACGATAAGGAGCAGTAATTCCTTCCTCCGCCTGTATTTCTCTAGCTCTGTTAAACAATATTGTGGATAATAAGTAAAAATTTTCCATCGCATTAAATCAACTGACTCATCATGACAAATACTATGTTTTATATATATATATATATATATAAATTAAAAAAAAAAAGGATAATCAATACTGATAACTACCTTTTTGAAGAAAAATATCTCGTCTCATGTTGAGGTGAGCCGCCAGCGCTGTTCCCAGTAACAGCAGAAGCAAATGAATCCTTGCCCATTTCCGATTGTTGAGAAGCCATTTTATAAATATCTTAATATGTACTGTGGAAGTGGTCACATCAAGTTTTGCACAGCAAAAGCGTGATGGATTAAACTTGTGAAGCCAAGGTGATGTTTTTGAGATAATAAGAAAGACCTGACTAATCAAACGAGCCACGGGTCGTTAAGTCTTTAAAGATTACACTGGAGGGTTCGTGTAACAGGACGGAATTAAGTCTTTGAAGATTACAATACCCAATTAATTAGTACTTATTAAAAACTGAAGTGTGAAGTGCTTTGGTGATGGGAATTTAAAAATTATATAGTAAGGTTACACTGAGAACGATAAAATTATTATTACTAAGTAGGAGATTATATTAGAAATTAGAAAGTAGAGAAGCAAAAAAAACAACCCTCCACCGTAAACTGAAATAAAAAAAAAAAAAAAAGAACAGAAATTAAGAAAAAACCAACGAAAACAGCGCACAAGAAGGTCATACAAAACCCTGAAACCAAGCATTAAGCGTGCTGCGTGAGCTTACCAAAAACGGTAGGAATCCCAAACAGGATATATCGATATGTTGATAAGACGGTGATAAGACGCGTCATAATAATAGCATTCAAACAAGATCGGCCTATAAACCAATAAACGGACGGCGTAACGGTTAATCATAAACGCAACCAACCAAACAAATATACAAACATTAGATTTATTTATTTATTTATTTCTTTACGGTGGAGGGTTGTTTTTTTTGCTTCTCTACTTTCTAATTTCTAATATAATCTCCTACTTAGTAATAATAATTTTATCGTTCTCAGTGTAACCTTACTATATAATTTTTAAATTCCCATCACCAAAGCACTTCACACTTCAGTTTTTAATAAGTACTAATTAATTGGGTATTGTAATCTTCAAAGACTTAATTCCGTCCTGTTACACGAACCCTCCAGTGTAATCTTTAAAGACTTAACGACCCGTGGCTCGTTTGATTAGTCAGGTCTTTCTTATTATCTCAAAAACATCACCTTGGCTTCACAAGTTTAATCCATCACGCTTTTGCTGTGCAAAACTTGATGTGACCACTTCCACAGTACATATTAAGATATTTATAAAATGGCTTCTCAACAATCGGAAATGGGCAAGGATTCATTTGCTTCTGCTGTTACTGGGAACAGCGCTGGCGGCTCACCTCAACATGAGACGAGATATTTTTCTTCAAAAAGGTAGTTATCAGTATTGATTATCCTTTTTTTTTTTAATTTATATATATATATATATATATAAAACATAGTATTTGTCATGATGAGTCAGTTGATTTAATGCGATGGAAAATTTTTACTTATTATCCACAATATTGTTTAACAGAGCTAGAGAAATACAGGCGGAGGAAGGAATTACTGCTCCTTATCGTTCAGGCCCCCTTCCACCACCGTCCATTTCTACTAATGGTGCTTTTAATAATGGTACACTCCTATCGGATTCTGCAGCTAGTGTATCACTTGAATATTTGAACCTAAAGTCTGTTGGGACAAAAGTTTCTCCTACTCCTAGTAGTAGCAGTCCTGATCACCTATCCTCTTACTCCTCTTCATACCGTCGGACTAGGGCTGATACACTACCTTCTTTGTCACGACCTATTGTCCATCATCCTACTTCTTCATTGTCTATCGCAACACCTATTGGATCCTCTGCTTCTGCTGCTACTCTTCTTACCCCCCCAAAACCCAATTCTCGTATTCGATCTGGATCTCTTACTTTACCATCAGCTTCACTTTCTGCTGCGTTTGGTCCATCTATTTTTACTTCAGGATGGTCTGATCATAGAAGTGAAACAAATGGTCCACCAACTCCTCCAATGCAAACACCCACTACTGGTGATTTACTTCGTGGGGATGAAAATAATACTGTTGGTAAAACTTTAGACTATTTGGGCCTAGATGATCATGAACATCTTAAAGCTACTGGTAACCTTCCGCAAATCAAAGTGGACATGAAACCATCAAACCCTCAAAATTATCAATCTTCTGTGGGATCTATTTCTTCTTTGCCTGCTCTTCGTAGGGATGCAAATAGAATTCGTTCTTATTCTGTGTCTGCTACTGCCAAGTATGATGATCCACCGCCTACAACAACTGTATCTTCAAATAACCTTTTCCCACCAGGTTCTGCAGCGGTGCAACAATTTCATCAAACCCATTCTCGGCCTCGCGCTATTAGTTTGGGTATTTTGGATCTACCAAATGATATTATGCTCATGCGCCAAGGAAGAAACGGTCAAATGTATAATGATTTACCAGAATCCGGGCAGGGTTCTAATACCCCATCTAGATCTCTTGGGGGTGAACAATTAGTTGGAACGATGCTTATGGCTGCTATGGAAGGGAAAAAGAAACAACAGCAACAAATTCATATGGAAGATGATTATTTATTACCGGATCATGATGAATTAGATGTATAATATCAATTTAATTCATTAATATATATTTTTTTTAATGTATTGTGACAAAATTTTGTAGTGCATTATTCTAATTTGAGTTTGCAATTTACACAGCATAACCGTTCTAGTGTGTCAAGTCCTCATGATCATACACCTGACCATTCTCAACAAAGTACACCTCCTCCACAAACACCTACTCGGTCTTTATGGATTGGGAATATCGATCCGAATCTTAGCACTCAAGATCTTATGCAACTTTTTTCGCCTTATGGGTCCATTGAAAGTTTAAGACTATTACCAGATAAAGAATGTGGTTTTGTTAATTTTGTTCGAGTTGAGGATGCAGTTCGTGCTAAAGATGATATTATGAATAGAATGGGCAGTCGAGTTGGAAATTGTATCGTTCGTGTGGGCTATGGCAAGGCGGATTCGTTAAATGCTCATGATTTGTCCCTGTCATCACAAACACAGCTTCAACCTACACGTGCTCTTTGGATTGGAAACATTCCCACCTCGACCACACCACAAATTCTACAGAACATATTTGCACCATTCGGTCCAATTGAATCTGCTAGAGTCCTAACACACAAAAATTGTGGATTCGTCAATTTTGAAAAATTGGATGATGCCGTAAAAGCCAAGAAAGCATTGCATGGTAAAGAGGTTCTTGGAAGTGCTGTTGGCCCTGTTAGAATAGGATTCGCCAAGGTACAACCTAAACCATCACCAACATCGACTCCAGAGCCAGGATCTCCTGCAACTCGTCATATTCGTAATCTTTCATCATCATCCTCTTCTTCTAATAACCAATGTTCTGGTCAATGGAACGGACAAGTTGAAAATTACCATAATAATATAATGAGAATGATGATTCCTGGGTCCGGCGGTCTGAATGAAAAACAATTAATGATGCGCGAATTGAGTGGCGGTGTAGATGATGACATTGAGGACGTCAATGGTAATTAAGCATGTATTGTTAATTATTCAATCCTGAGTTTGTGATATATATTGTAAATTAGTCCGAATGGTTCGCCATGCATAACCAGATTTTGATAAAAATGTATGAAAACTCATTTTTATCGCTAATTTATAATTTTCAATCAGAAAACACTGCACTTAATAGTACATGCACTATATTATCTATAATCAATATGAATAATAGTAAGTCTAATACTTTGATATTTTACGCTATTATTTAGAGAATCGCCCTCCCACGACGTATTTTACATCTATTCCTCCTGTGGGTGATCCAAATCCGAATCGTAAACCAGATGCTTCAAGATTGCGAGAAATTCGCAAACGTTTGGATAGTGGTCACTGCTCTGCAAAAGAAGTTGAGGCAATTGCATCTGAAGTTTTAGAAGAATGTGTGGAATTGTCAAGCGGTAAGGATATTACTATATTCCAACTAAAGCATTGGGATATACACAATAAAACTTATAAAAA